CCAATTACACATACTCAATCATTACAATAAAATGGACTATCAAAGTATTTAGTATTTGTGTAGTTGCTGGGGACTCACGTATGTCGTCTTCGTGATAGATGACTGAGTGGAAGGGCACGTCTTTTGCCCCCTAGGTATCTCTCAGCAGGCTCCACGTAGTAGGTGCCGTGGTAGCTCTGAATGAAGCCCTCAAACTTACCATCCACAATGGCACCATGAGTCAGGGTACCTTTCTCCCCTGGGAATTACAGAGGATTGTCACAGAGGATTCACACAAGATCAGTTCAAAGTTTTAGACGCATAAAAACTAGTATATTAAAAATCTTACCATAGATTTCTCCAGTGTAGATATGAGAGGTATCATATGGAATCTCTTCTCCTGAAACATCCACCTTCAAATCTTGGGCAAACATGGTGGTATCCCTCTTCATTCGTAAATTAAAATGCCTGAAATCAAAAACATAAAAACTATATAAATAGGAAGACATCTGTATGTGATGACACAGGTTACAATGTGGGACAACAGTGTTATCTATAGTGTGAGAAGTTTGTTTCCGCGATGTCCCCAAACTGTCTGCTGATAGTATTCATGTCACAGAGTGTGAGCCTATGGATTTGGATCGGAATTGGGTCTCACTTTGGGAGGTAAGCAATATTCACCCGGCCTTTGAGAAAAAGGAGAATGCTAATGAAAGGGGGAAAAGGGAAAGGGAAGGGCATGGTTTAGCAGAGAGAAAACATCTAAGCTGTTTTCTGTTGCACAAGGGGAACTGCAGTCTTCATCTTGTAACAGAGGGAACAGAAAATCAGGACATCTTGAAACAATGCTGTTTTTTATGATCAAACATATGGCAGAGAAACAAAGATGCTACAGTAAACCTTGGGTATCATGTAACACCTACACAGTGCTCTTATTGTATGATTGTATTGTGTGTAAGTTACTGTTCTGTAAGTCAGGCATAAAAATCTGCTCCTGTGCGTATAAAGAATCTATTGCGCCACAGTTGTTTTCTAATATGACTTAATCTCTGGGAAAATGTAAGGTGCATGACAATTCAATCAGTCAACACGTACAAGCGAAGGACGATGGGGTGTTGCAAATTAACTGTTCGAATCTGAGTTGTGTCTCTAGCTTTGTCATGAATCAAAGCAAAAGAAACCGACACATTCTTGCTTTTCAAAGAAACAGACCTCTTCCTTGTTTGTGTTTGTTTGCACAGGCTCTTATCGTTCTCTTCCCTATTAAGCAGCATCAGAATTTGGGAACAGCAGGCTCTGCTACATGGCAGGACGAAAAACCAGCATTTGCCAAGCTCCCAGCCAGATGGTCTTGACTTTGTCATGGAGAATGTAGACACTTCCTACTGAATAACACCAATTTGTCATAATGCTGGATGAAGAACCATGACAAGGACTACATGAGTCCATCAATCCAGCCATTTATAGCTTCAGGGGGTTCCCACCCAGGTATCAAGTGTACAGAAACACCCTGGAAACACCTGATCCATCACAGCGCTACCTAATATATGCACAAACACATTACCAGCTTCTACTTCACCTGATCTGCATGTATTTAGATTGTGGGAAAAAATAAATAAATAAATAAATAAATTTTAAAAAATGACAAACAGTGGTAAAAATACCTGTTACAAGTATCTAAAGCCCAAATTTATGTCCGACCAACAATCCCATGCCCAAAAATGATCAGTTTACTATCACAGAAGCCAAATCAAGCAGCAAATCCTCACAACTGAGAAGCTGAAACTAGGTAATGTCTGGTATAGCCTTAACTTAGACCACAGAAACTATAGAGAAAGAATCCAATGCTGAGATTTAAAATCCCTCCTAACCACAGAGTCAGTGTGAAGACCCCGGCCTGTACTGTGATTTCATAAAACAGGATTAAATGTAAATAACTATGAATCACACGGCAAATCTCTGCTACAGCTAACCTCCATCTTTAATCATAAACAATATGGGCATATGGGATGAGCTCTGCAAATAAATACCCAGACAAGAAATAAAGACATAGATGAGGAGACTTAAAAATAGAGAGAGATCCAGACAGAATTTCCCTTTAGAGTAATATCTGGAAAAACCGACAAACCTTCCATGGGCATGAAAATCTAAGTGAAGGAACTTGTCTTCATGAGTGAGTGCCCTCTTGGCCCTCTCATGGTTGCTGTGCACAAGCTCTGTTTCGTAGGACAGGCCTTCATAGTGACGGATGTACTTGTTCAGGGGATTTCTGTAGTGTCCTGTGGGAAAAAAAACAACAGAGGAACTCCTGTTATCAGCAAAAACAATGAAAATACACACCTTATGAAAGTTCATGAATATCATATCCTTAAAGAATCAAGTAAAGACAACAACAAAAGCAGCCATCCCAGGTGTATAGATAAAATCTCTTTGTCTAGGTTGTACGTGTATGTACTGTATCTAATTGGATCAGAATATCTTGTGTACATAGATGTGCCTGAGATCTCATAATACAGAATATGAATTAAAGAAGAAAGTCTGAAGTTTGTAACAGTGTGTCTGTCACATCGACTATTCTGAGCAGATGGAAGTTAAACTTAAAAAGGCTTGTTTTGTTTGTTAGGCAATGCATTTCAAGCATTAGATACTCATATTTGGGGCCTTACAGTGACACTGGAGAATAACAGCGGCATTTTACAGTAAATAACCGAGACATGGTACATGTTAGGAGAATGTAGGTGCCTATTTTCAGCTAAATCCATTTAAGACAAATGGATGCCAGTTTTGGAGCTGTGCTCAACAACAGCCCCCAGCGTCACAGCATTATTATTTTGCCACCAGAAGAGTGGGTGGCGAGCTCCAAGGAAAAAGATTCTCGAGCACCTCCACCCATTTCACTAACTGTTTCACACTCAAAAGCAGTCTGACAAACTCCACTTCAAGAAAACATAGTAATTTTGTTTAGGGCCAATTACACCCTTCTTAAAGTTACTTTGTTTTTGATGTTTAGACAGCTGGTGTAACTGTAAGATCAGATCTTGCCCCATAACATTTAAACCAAAAGAAAGTATTTTCAGTAAATGCAGTATATATAATTAGTACCGTCTGACAGGTAATTATGTCTGACTAGTGAGCCATAAATTACAGGATTCAGTGCAACTGTGTAACAAAGATGGGTAAGTAGACCAGGCTTCAGCTACTTCTCTGTTCATGTGCATTATGAAATATTTAGGTGCTAACATTAAATCTTTCATTGAGGTGAGTATGAGAAGTGAAGGCTCACGACTATTCTGAAATATCTTAATTTAACAAATGAATATCGCAAACCCAAAAGATTCTTATTTCCTACATGTGTGATTATGAAATGAGTTACAGTTAGAGGGAATTGCTATTTTTGCATCAAAATATAAATTTTCTCTAAATAAAATGGTTCACATCATAATAATGTGACATTTGTTTGAGTCTGTAGCAACAAACAGGTTCTCTCACATCTGGAAAATAAGATCTATAGTTCCAGCGAACCTCTGCAGCACTACAGTACTTAATTATCATGCTGCTTCCTCACACATTTTCAAAACAAATTGCACTTGGCCATATTGCAATATTTGGAATAACAACATAAGATTGATTAAATTACATGGTGCAGAACAATCACATACAATCATCTGATGGCCCTATAATGTGAAAAAAGTTGTGACTGCTACTTTCTGACAGCTTAACAATTGATCCATATTGAGATTAAAACCATTCCCGATGCTTTAATATAAATATGGACCCTGGAGCTGACTGAGACTTTGAGTCAAAGTAAATGAGTCCATACAGAGCTGATTTTATTTCACTAATATAAGATTTATTAGCACAGTAGCAGTATATAGCAGGTGTATGATGCCAGAGGTAAATCACAAACCAATACAGCATTTTTACGAAAGGGGCAAATTAACTCCCACAAGAATAAAAATAATAATAATAATAATAATAATAATCACACATACAGATTATTTTCTAAATACTGAATCCACTTATTGCGGCTCTGGGTTACATTAGAGAACATAAAACACATTATTGACCAGTTATCGGCACCAGAAATCGGAATAACGCCAGGAAACATGAAAACTCGTGTCAAACAAACGCTAAACGCGGACACGATGCAGAGAAACACAATGTCAGCGGATAATGTTGTGTGGGGTTTTTATTTTAACGAGGAATCGTCATGTTAGCGGCTAAAGAGCTGGCTAGCACAAAAGCTAACAGTCCGTTCACCCAGTCGGCATCTCCCGTCCTCTCACAACAATGGCTGTGGGCGCTACTCGCACGGCAACAACACCACCGATCCGACCCTGACAACGACGAGACAAACGGTGACAACTGGCGGAAATAACTCCGCGATATCGGTTTGTTTCAATCAACCGCATCGATCCAAGTCAGCTCCTGCGCCGTGTGTCGTTGGTGAGCTTCAAGTAATACGGCTGAAAAGGGTGCAGTCCTCTTCACAACAAGCAGGCCCTGCTGATCCCTCCTGCTAGCTAACGGGGGCTATATCAGCCTTTCTGCTCCTCGCAGCCGCTTGCTTCGTGGATTTAACTCAACTTGTGAGGGGGCTTTTGTTTTTTGTTTTTTTACCCTCCCGAGAAAAAAACGCCGCACTCACCTTGGGTGTAGTTTAGCAAGCACGCGAAGAGGAAAACTTTAAGAAGAAGCATATCTGCCAAATCCATTGTTAAAGCATTGATGCCGTTTTCACTTTATTGTCCTACTTAGATAGGCGCAGACGCCCTGTGTGTTTATTGCACCTTCCTCCTCATCGCCTCCTCTCTCTCTCTCCAGCGTCATGACGTCAGACGCACCGCCGCCCTTCATGGCATCCCTTCCCCCAAGTGCATCCATGATCCAGGCCTGCATACATTACTGCACGCCCAGGCAACAGCACTCACCCTGCCAGGGTGTTATGATATGTGTGCTATGACATTTTTTTTCCCCCTCTCTCTCTCCACCATTACATGCACATTAAAAAAATAGGAAAATAATACCAACGTTTTTCTTTTAATACTTCCAAGTGTCCATTTATCATTACATCGAAACAGTTGTTACATTTTAGACATCAATACAGTTACATATCTCTTAAAAATAAAACGTTTTGTTCATTAATCAAATCAACAGAAAGTTCATCAATCAGTTAAGTTTATTGCCAAGTTCCAGCTTCTCAATTATGAGGATTTGCCGTTCTTTGTTGTATGTGGAAGCTGAATAATTTGGGGTTTGGACTGTTGGTCGGACCAAACAAGCAATCAGATGATGACTTGAGGGTCTAACAAACTATGATAGGCATTTTCACAATTTTCTGACATTTTACAAATGGCAACATAAAAACCCAATTATTTTATTTCTCTTATTTTATTTCGTGGTACCCAACTGATGTTTTTTTGTCTTGCAAGAGTAGTGGCAAAATTACATATTTTTAGGTATATTACGGTAATTACTTGCATAACAAACTCGTAGAGCTGTCACACAATTCGTAGGCAGCCAATGAAATGCAAGCTTTCGTTGCTTGGCAACCCAAGATCCTGAGAATATAGTGTTGCCAAAGAAAAGGAAACACCATCAGTTTGGCGTGGTTGTTGGATCCTGTCATGCATCAGCACTGATGATCTGTAAGCAGGCTATTTCTGGTCCTGGCAGTTCTCAGTGATGATCTTCATCTCATGATGCACCTCTTCCTATTGAAGGTAGTGGTTTCCCTGATAATAAGCCACATATCACAAGGCACACTCCTTGCTATGACATTCCCTATTCTCAGATAGGATTAAATTTGTGATATATGGAAACTAAATTGAGTTTTTGAGATAAACATCAACATCTGTTCAAAATGACCAGAATCAGAAAAGGCACCAAGATCTTTTTTTTTTTTTTTTCAGAGATTCTATCAGCTGATGTTTCCATTTTGACCACACAATAGTTAGCAGCAGTGTTATCAGTCAGTTCTTCTGTGTCTGTTTATTCCAGACGAACTCCTCTGGCTCCAGTAGCCTCCACGTGACACACCTCCACATCAGCCCCCAGTTTCTGCAGCTCATCCAGCCAGATCTGTTGCTTCTGGGACAGCCGGTCACTGGGCCCCTTCACCTCCACCAGCTACCACAACAAGACATCCAATGTCACATTGCATGCCGCCATAATCCATGTGCTTAGACTTAAAATAATCAGTTTACCACAGAGCGTCTGAATCTATACACAAAAGAAAATATGTAATTCAAAGAGCCATGATTTCACCTTGTAGCTGTTGTTTGAAGTGTTCCACACTACTAGATCTGGCAAACCTCCACGGCAGTGTCTGTAGTCTTTTGACATCCGCGCTATTACCCCTCCTAAGAAGGCTCCACCCATGCATGAAACAAGCGACTGCAAATAGATTATAAAAGTGGATATGTTAGTACCATGTTAGTACCTACAGTAATGCATGTATACAAAAAAATCCAATCCTAGTCATCTATCATAGCATATTTGCATTTTCTTTCCCAGTGTACTAACTAGACGTAATTTATGATGTGATATATACACATACAGAGGTATTCATTTAACTACAGGTTTATTATTGAGGTCATAGTTAGTAGTGGTCGTGTTCTGGACTGCATTATATATATTAGTGCTGTCAGTTAAACGTGTTATTAACGGCGTTAACGCAAACCCATTTTAGCGGCGTTAATTTCTTTATCGTGAGATTAATGTTCTTTTTGGCCTAGCACACTTTGTAGTTTTTTTTCACAACAACTAGTAACGTCAGAAAAACTACAACACCACACAGGATCTAGCTAGACCGGAAACAAAACAACAGGCACGCTACACTTGTTTAAGAGTAGTAGACGTTACGTTTTGAGTGGATGGCGAGTGCGAGACGCCGAAATGGATGCCAATAATATTCTGAATGGAAAGTTTACTTTTAAAAAGTTGCCAAATGATAGTAGAAGTAGAAGAAGTAGTAGGCTTACCTTTTATTGGTAACCGTTACTGTTCATTCTTTCTGAAATAAGAGGCTGGGTTGAGCCTCTGGTGAATAAAGAGCAGCAGCCTGACTGCTATGTTCAAAGCAAACTTGAGAAAAGTATTAAGCCATGGTTTAACTGCACTATAGGCTGAGTCCTAGTTTACCTTACATGTGGACTTTGTAATTTTATTTTGTATCGCCCTGTTTTCATCCCTTAGAAAGGGCTGTTGAAGGGGCTGTTTGTGGGACAAAGTATTTTTTTCACCCTTTTATTGATGGACAGTGTTACATTGTGTGAGAGATTATTTGCTTCAAGTGAGAATGTTAGTGTGAAATTGAACACTAATTGTTGTTTTCAATAAAAACAATATTTGCACAAAGCAAGCCGATCCACTTTTCCATATTGATAAGAGCATTAAAATGAGAAAAAATAATGGGACAAAAAGAAATCAAGGTACATTCAGAATAGATAAAAATGTGCGATTAATTGCGAGTTAACTATGACATTAATGCAATTAATCGCGATTAAATATTTTAATCGTTTGACAGCACTTTTATATTTTTTTATATATATATATATATATATATATATATATATATATATATATATATATGTTTCTAACATTTATCCACCCTCTGTCTGTAAATGGGGTGGGAAAATTTAATTGAATTTATGGCCGAGCTGTTGTATTGAATTACATTCGATTTTACAGGTGTACTTGATAAAGTGGCCACTGAGTGTATATTTACAAGAGTGCCAGTAAATACCTGTGCCTGTTGAAGGGATGAGAAACGCTCCCAGCTGACCAATGAACACACTTTACCCTCCTGGGAGGTCCAGACATCTTCCAACATGTCATGCAACGTCTCCACGGATGCCTCGTGAATTAACTGCACACGAGAATCGATCGCCTCTTTTCTGTTCTCATAGAAACAGTCAGTGTAAAGATCCAGTGGACATGTCTGTGATAAGAAAGGAAGATGAGTTAAGCTGGTAAACATGCACAGTTATCCCACAAATATTATAGATGTAGAGCTAACATTACCTGGTACGGATTTCTGAAAACATCTGGAATACCCTCCATAAAAATTATGTCCCACAACAGCAGAGCAAACAATGTTGAGAATGTTGAGCCCTCTCCATGGATCCCTGTTACATTAACAGTGGCAATACAATGTTAGGGTGATGAAAGGATAGCGAAATATTTTTAATAAGTGAAGCAGGACTGCTCACCCTGGTCAAAGTCTTGTTGGCGGTAGTGTGCTAAAGACAGCTCTTCCACAGAGCCTATTACAGTAGCATTAGCACTCTCTCCCCCCTCTCCATTTGCTGGTATAAGAAACTTAGATTTCCCCATACCCCCCTCATGAGGGAACAGCTGTCCCCGGATGGTCACCTGCAGACAAAAGAACAAACAGTAAATTATATATCTATTAGAGCCCGACTGATATTATTGACCTGTCGCATTTTTTTTTTCAGGTATATGGTGAAAAAAGAATTGTAGTTCTTACAGGACTGATCATTAGCTACTTATTTTATTTTTATTTATTTTTTATTTTCTCAGTGTTTATATCTAGGATTAGTTGACAATGTAGCCTATAAGTAAAATTATTTAACATTTTAAAGAATATTTAACTTAAATATTTTCAGCCTCCTGAGTTCCTTTGCACGGTCATACTGCCGCAAAATTATTTTCATTACAGAAAAAAAATTCTAAAATATTGGCCGCCATATTGGTAATCAGTCAAATTTCCCCCTCTAAAATCAGTATTGTATCGATCTCAAAAGACCCATATTGGCCAGGCTCTAATATCTATTCTATATCTAATGTTTGCCATACACCCAACAATTTAAGTTGTTTTTGTCCTGGGAATCTAAATACTGACATATACTATACATATACTGACACACTTACATGTTTTACATCTTGGACTTGGATAGTGGGAAGGTCTTTTAGTTGCAGGCGGTACTTTTTAAAGCTTGCAGACTCTTTCATCCGAACAGCTCTCTGATGAAGAGAGAGTTTATGTCCAGTTCGCACCAGAGGGTCTGACAGCCCATCTCTGATAGCACAAATAACCTAGGAGCAAAAGAAAATAGACCACTGTCAAACAAATGAAAACAGCTATTACTGAGTACAATGTCACACAAGGAGGTAAATGACTAAAAATGTCTTTAAGAGATTAATGGAACCACAGATACTGGTTCTCACTTGCTCAGGTTTTTTTAGGTGCTGGTGAAGGTTTAGTGCCAGTCTGTCCCACCACCGCCCTCGGCTGTCAGGACAGAAAACAGACTGCGACAGTAAGGACCTCAGCTCTTCTATTGCTTCCTGCAACACAAAGGAAGACCCATAACATCTTTAACTATGACATACTTTGAACTTTAGCTTAAATTTGAGTGAGTGGGTAACGTTAGAAAACCTCATAGCGACGTAGCCTCTGCAAGATCTCCACCCCTCGGGATAAGATACGAGTGTAAGCCCATCCTGTAGTGAAGCTGCGCAGGAACACAGGCAGCTTCTCCTGGTGACTATACAAAACAATGATAACATTAAAAAAACATCCAGAGAGTGTGTATCATTGTTTTAGACAGAAGCATGTGTTATGTTACCTGAGGTCATGGTTTTTCCTCAGCTCCTGCCAGGCATTTTTGGCAGCAGTGTAAAGCTCCATGGCATCTTCCCACTGACCTCCCTGCATAGCTGAAACTACCTCTTGCAGGGCTCGCATGGCTGCCTCATATCTGGTGTGATGGATAGAATCATGAGTATTTATTCCTGGCAATCCTGCGTAGATAAAATACAATAAACTCAATTTAACTCCTCTGGCAGACGCTCACCTGATAAGATCCTCCCTGTCCTGGAACACCTTGGCTGTACGCTGCACTGTGTAGTCTGGGAAGGCCAGACGTCCTGAGTTGACCAGCAGGATGGTGAAGAGCTGGCTCTGCCCACCAGCCGCCATCTCCTCCTCATCCATGGTGTCTGTCAGAGAGAAGAGTAGAAGAATGCGAGAGAAGACAGCCCGAGGACCACGACACAGACGAATGCAGGAACCCGCAAGCTGCTTTGCCCTTTAAGGTTAGAGAGAACAGGGGTGAGATCATCACTGCAATACTAGCACTGCAAATGAACACAATGTATTTGATCAACTCACCTTTTAAGGATGACAGTCCCGATGTTGCTTTGAGCAGGAGTCAGAGAGAAGAGGGACTTTTGCCTGCTGAGACGGAGAAGTCCGTCCACTAGCTGCTGTTTCTGAGTCCCAGAGTTTCCCAGATGGAAAGTCTTAGCCAGAGCTTTGAGTTCAGGAGCAGGTAGGAGGTCCAGAGCCTCCCCTAACTCTTGAAGGTCACTCTCTTTGACATAAAAAAACACAGCACAGGAGGGCATTTACAAGAGAAAACCAGAATTTAGTGATGTGGTGTTTCAGCATAATAGCAATAAAACAATGTTAGGAGGTGCTTCACAAAAATCAAACAAAATGGCAAAAAATTATTGGTACAATACAAAAAAAGTTCATGGTTACATGGACATAAAGACCCCCTAGAGATTTAAAGGGGGTCACATCTCCTCTGTTTCTTATCTTTCCTCACTCTCCCTAACATCTATGAGTAACTCAATTAAAAATCAGGAGGGATTAAGAAGTGTTGAGCCAGATGTTAAAGGTCCAGTGTGGTCCAATGTGTAGGTTTTAGTGGCATCTAGCAGTGTAACTGCAGATCGCAACTCCCTCGCTTCACCTTCCTGTTCCAAACACAAAGGAGAAACTACAGTGGCTGTGAAAAAATTTGAATGCCCCAAACTACAGCCAGTGTTTGGTTTGCCCCCTTTGGGCTACTGTAGAAACATGGTGGTTCAACACAGTGTCTGTAGATAAAAACAGCTCATTCTAAGGTAACAAAAATACAACAATTGCTATATTCAGGCAATTATACTCTAATGAAAGCATATCTATGAATATTAAATTCCATTTCTGGGGTCACTGAAATGTTACACACTGGATCTTTAATGCAAACATTTTATTGTGTTCCTGAACTGATCAACACAATCATCTGTAGTTATGACAAAGAAACAACAGGGCGAACATGAATACTCAACCCTCAACAGCATAATTATAAATATGTCAGTAATTCAATTTTTTTGCCAACTCTACTAAAGATGCTCCAAAATATCAATGTATATTAGGAATCATTTACCTGACTGTAGAAAACCACCTTGAACCAGCTCCTGAGCAACAGGTCCCAGATCGCTGCATATCTCTTCATAATCCAGTTTATTTACTTGGAGCCACTTCAGTTTCCTCTGAAAGAGTCTCACGTACAGCTTCTGCCCCATGACTTTGAGAGGAAAGATACATGTGAGTGATGAGGCCTTACTTATATTAAATAAATACATTTATTAATACATGACTGCGTGATTTCAGCCTACCTGAGAGCTTTTCAAAAGCATGTACGAGTGACATATCATGCTGGTCGAACAATGCCCTGTCGTCCTCGTTCTCAAGGACAGCCTGTAGTACGGTCCGGAAGTTACGGAGGTAGTAAGGAAGCCATGCGGACGGAGAGCCCTCTGAATCCTGGTCACTAGTGGCGTTTTCAGCACCGGACTCAGCCAATGAATCCCTACTGATCGCTGCAGCACTCTTCTCATATGTTTCCTCTGAACTCAGAGGAGGGTCACAAGTAGTGGTGGTAGAAAGTACCTCAGTTTTAAGCTGGTCTGTATCAGTTTTCTCTGCTATACTACACAACTCCTCCTCTGGCTCTCTGCCACTCCCCTCATATTTTGCTTTCTTTCTTAATTCATACACCCTAGCAGTGGGAGCTTTTTCCTTTCTCCTCTTTGCTAGTTTGGAGGAAGACGTGTGGAGCTTTGGAGTAAACAGTTTCTGGACAGTCTCTGATTTAGATGCTCTGTGTTCAGATTTATGTCCTTTTTCTGAACATGATAGATCTTCTGCTGCTGTTGGAGCGTCTGCACTGGTTGCTGTCAGATCAATGACGGTCGCACAATCTTTATCGTCTTCTAAACTCTCAATCAGAAGATTTTCTTTCTGTGAACTGCTGAGTGATTCAGAATACATCTCCTTTTCAGGAGAAGTCGCTGCCTGTTTATCCTCTGTTTGTGTCCTCTCTGGTTCCTTATGACGTTTCCTAGACAACTTGGAGGAGAGACTTCCCAGGTCAATCGTCCTGACCACACGTTTACTGTTTATCTCTCGTGGTGCCTGCTGAAAGTTACTATTTTTGAAATAAGGGCTGGTCTTGGTCTCATTGACTTCTTCCTCCTTATTTGGATCCAGCTCGGGGGTCTTTGGGGGATTCCTTCTGGGTGACAGCTGGTTGCTTGGCACAACACTATTACTTGCTGAGGTGGCACTGCTGTCTCCTCTCTCAAACTTCTGACATTGCAAATCAATGTGCTCATTGATCCTGAATCTGGGTACCAAGTGGCCACACAGGGGACAGGCTATCTTAGGCGGAGGCTGGCTGCTGAAGAAGGAGGTGATTGGAGCTGTGGCGGCAGCAGCGCTGGCAGACATCCCAGCTTTGACTTTGCCTTTCTTCTTGCTCTTGGACAACGACAAGCTTCGCTTGAGTGTGTCTTTGTTGGCTCTCTCGGTCATGATGTAAGCGGAAGTGGTGTTGCTATATGAAAACGTTGTTTAAAGGCTTTTCTATGTCGCATGCTCTGGAGAGAATGATGACTTTCAATGCTTTTTTGCTCTGTTTAGCTAACCTAAATGTTAAGTTAGCTCAGGAAGAAACACTTCATTTTAAGTTGTCAGATATTTGTAGCGTTTGGTGCGTCGCACATGCATTAGAAAAACGCCAGAAGCATTAATATAACTTAAAGGCTGTCAATGGGTAAAAACACGAGCTAACATACCGGCAGAGGTCTCATTTGGTAGCAGAACGGTAACAACAATCCCGCTTCTCAGGCTTAACCAGCAGAGCGCAGAACGCCTTTAAGTTTGTACTAATCGATCCCAAATACATCGATATCTTCCCATCGACTTGAATGCAAAAAGCTAAGATCTTAAAAAAAATCGTGTCCGAGATGTAATATGTATGCATATATGTTTTTCTTTTTTAAAGTAAGTCGTAATATAAATGCTAATATAATTTAAAACATATGCAAATCACTAATCATCAATGTGACATCTTAGTAAAATGTTAAATATATAAGAAATAAATATTATTGTTTGTAAACTAAAATGATTTAGATCAATTATGTAGGCGTATGTATGTCCATGTATTCATTACGCCTCTCGCTGTGTTATTTGTTGGAGAACAGAGCGGTGAGCACATGATGGGGGGGTGTATTATCTACACAGGTTCCTGGGCTGCTGTGCGGCTTTTATTCAAAAATCACCATTCCGGAGAGCAATCTGATCTGATCAGCACACGGGTCATTTTACGAGGAGGGCTGCCGACAGGACCGATGCTGGTAAGTGCCGCACGCATTTTTCTAAAACACAGATGTAAAAAAAAAAATAAAAAATAAATAAAATAAAATCTTGCAGAGATGGATAAGGGCCTATACGGCTTCTAAAAAAACAGGGCTGAAGACAATGCTGGATGTGCTCCTCTGGTACCACATCAGCCCATAAGCTGGATGTCAGCATGGTGCAGCCTCGATGCTTCAAATCAAGGTCGATGTGAATTGCAGCAGCAGGATAATACTGTATCCAGATGGTGAAAAACCCCCCAGCCCATGTGTGTGTGAGGGGGAGTCAGCTCCATCACTGCTGTTGGTATATGCGCAGGAAAACCATATATCCGATTTATCTTATCGATATTTAGCCTAAGCAGATGGGAATGCGGCGTCCACTTGTGGGGAAACCAGAACCAACCACAACAACCACTCCTGCAGCTGCGGCAAAAGTTCGGCGTAGTGGGTTTATAAATACCACCACAAATACGTCAAGGGCAGGGCAAAATGCGTGCAATCCTAATACCCAACCTCAATTCAAGCCTATAATGAACCTTATTGTTTTTAAATAGCACTTCAGCACCATGGAGAGGTCATGATTAGGTCCGCCGTTGTACTGTATTGGATGTGTGATCTGCTCATCATGCCATAATCTCAGTTGCATTACCACCATGGATTTATTGTGTTTATTATCAGAAAGCTTGAGCTCCGTCGGGTTGTATTTTCCAGTTCAGCCACAAGCTTCGATGGTTTATGTTTAGATGAGGGTGTTGACATGTTTAGACTGGGCGGGTATCAGACCGCTGTGTTCACTGTGATAGCTCTGATACATTCAGTACAAATCTCATTACTTTGTGACCAGACTGAAAACACAATTATCACATTTCAGGGTTGTTATTTGGTTGAAATCATTATAGAGATTAATTTACTTACAAAAAAAATAGTCAGTTTATATCAACAATGTACAATTTATATTTATTTATTATTTTGTTGAATAGATGAATTCTCTTTATGATATCCTTTTGCTGGTGCCATATGTTGTTGTGTGTTTGTAGGGCTGCAACTAACTGTTGTTTTCATTATCTGCCAGTTTCTTTTCTTGATTTATTTATTCTTTAGTCTCTAGAATGTCAGAAAATAGTTTAAAATGAAAATCTAATTTTCCCACGATTGTAAAGTGCTTTTTTTTTATAGAAGTCCAGAAGTCCAGAATTCAAAGATGTCAAACGACCATCACTGAAGTCTTAAAAAAACTGGAAAATATTCACATTTAAGACATTGGAACCAGTGAATTTAAGCATTTTTGACATAATAATAATAATACATTTTATTCATGGAGCGCTTTTCAAGAAACTCAAAGACACTTCACATAAGATGAAAAGAAAAAGGTAATATTAACACTCACTTACAATCTACAGCACTCAACAATGAATTAACATAAAACATAACATAAACTAACTGGTTATCAGAATTGTTGCAGGTCAGTCAACTAAATGATAAATCGACTAGTTCAGCTCCTTCATCAATTGAGCTATATAGTACCGTATGACCTAGTTGAATTAGTGTGTTGTTGTTTTACTCTTAAAAACAATAAAATAAATCCTAAAAGAGAGAGAAGAGTGCAGAGAAATGTTCTTTCCACCAGCTGTGTTTGTGCTTTATTATGGCATTATCTGTTCAGTTGCCAATACACAAGGTGTTGTGTTGTGCCTTAATCCAGGGAAAATATCCATTCAGAGAATGATGTACTGTTCCCACAAACAGTTTCCTCAGAGCACATAAGTCATGGGTCATAAATCTGGCACCCACACTGACCACATTATATAAATAATTCATTGATGAGCCTGTAAGTGACGATATCCTTTAAAGGTCCAGTGTGTAACATTTAGGAGGATCTATTGGCAGAATTGGAATATAATATTAATAGGTATGTTTTCATTTGTGTATGATCACCTGAATAAAGGATTCATTGTGTTGTCATTACCTTAGAATGAGCCGTTTTTAGCCGCCACGGGTTGCCGTCCACGGAGGCCACCATGTTTCTACAGTGGCCCAGAACAGACAAACTAAACACTGGCTGTAGATAGGGCCTTTTTTTGCAGCCTCTGTAGTTTCTCCTACACATTTCATAACCTGTTCTCATTCCCAGGTCGTCAAATACAGACACGAACGGTGTTAAGTTACCACTACTCCCCGAGGGTTAAACCTGAGTCTGGCTATACAACAATGATAGCAATGATACAGGCTTAGTAGTATAGACTTGTTAAAAATAATATGCATGTACGTGGTATATCCAGATATTTGAATCAGTATCAGGAAAGAATAAATAGTATTGGAACATCTCTAATAACAATGATTTCACATAAAAAAACACATCACATGATACTGGCCTGACTCACTGACAGCAGTTTTCCTGCTCTGTAGGACGTCAAGGCAAAATTAGAGCAGACACAACAAAGAAAGATGACAGATAAACAACATCAGCAGTCACCACAGACAAAAGGACAGAGATGGCGTCTGTGGGTGTTAGATGTTGTAGAAGTAATGGATTAATAAATGGCTACTGGTTGTCCTTGAAGTAGGAATTGTTTCTGTGTTGTTTAAAGTGTGAAACAGAGACAGTTACTCTGATATAATAGTGGATCTTGTGTGGGGTAAATAGTCTTAGATCATATGTTCTTTAAATCTGGTAGAGTGTGAAGTGCTTGAAATATACTCTGAATGTGTTGCTAGGTTGTATTAGCTTGCAAAGTAAACAAGGGAAGAGCTATATTGAATCTTATTGGCGCTAAATAAGTTGTGTATTTATGGAAAAGACTGGGAGGCATAACCTGTGACTGTTCATTGGTTCCAGTGAAATCTGACATGGTTCTGTAAATTCTCTTAGAAAACCTTTTCTGGTAGGTGAAAATAGCAGTAGGACATTGTGGAGAGTATTAATGTACTGTTGAAGATATCAAGGGAATATTTACAGAGAGCATAATACAAGCATTGCAAAAATCTAATTTCTCTTTTAATGTTCACAGGGTTGAGAGTAGTGGGCTTACAGGGCCTGTTATGGCTCATGGAAAGAGGCCAGGAACCATCTCCAAAATATTGGCTCCCAGCCCTCCACCGTGCCCTGGTCCAGGATTCACTTCACAGAGCCAAGAAGAGCAGCAAGGTTTGGTGAGTGAGGCGTCTGAGCAACCACCGTGTACCTTAAAGAATGATAACAATGACCAGCTGACTCCTCCTGTCCCTGCAAACCACTATTACATGAGTTGTGACCCTAGTCCTGAGGACATGGAGGACACCTGCTCTGAGTACGACAACGTGGGCTCTGATGTGGAGCAGGACTATGATGAGGTGTTGCATTTAAACAGAGAGGGCGTAGTGGACACAAGGTACTACAAGCAGTACTGTCCTGAGGATGGTGGCTATATAAAGCATGCAGTAGGTGACAATATTAATGAGAACAGCAGTGCTGTTGACCAGTTCATTCCCAGGCCTCGTCAGAGCACAGAAATATGTGAGGGATCACAATCAGACACTATGCCTCACAAGGTGGGCCATCGCTTTAGGTCACACTGTGCTCCGACTGCTGGGGATGAAGCAGAGAGGGAGGTGGAAAAGGGCCAGGAGAACAGATTCTTCTTCAGTGACGGAGATGAGATAGAGGAGGTGCTGGATGGGGCCAAATTTATAGAGGATTTAGAGGAGGCAGAGAACAGTGTTCAAAGGCAGACAAACATTTATCAGGACAATGAGAACGAACGAATTAGAAAGGGAGGTGATGATAGGGAAAGAGAAGATGACACTCGAGTCGCAAGAAATCATAATATCCCAGGAGGCAGTAAGAAGTGTGAGTCGTCTCACGTGGGATCAAAGGAGAAAGAGAGGCAGGGTAAAGGACGAGGGAGGAGGGGAACAGGTGAGGACATGGAGCATGTTGTCTCTGGGATCAAAGGCTGCACGACCAACAGCACTGAACAGCGTCCAAAGATGTCATCAAAGGACTGCAAAAAAGTCGCCGTGCGGACCAAAGCTAGGTCTGGTTCCAGTAAGCAACATCCTCCTCCGCCACCCCGTCATTCCCATGCTCAGTCGCCTGCCGACACCCAGAAGGCGCAGGCTCGTCGGGAGACTCCTCCTGTTCCCAGACCCAGTCCCTCTTCTGCTGCCAGCCTGGAGAGCGAACCCAGGGTTATCGAACCATCCCTGGCTCATCATCACACAACGGAACAACAGAGGGAGCCTCTTGAGGAGAGGCAGAGACGGCCAGAGAAACCCCAGCAGGTAACCAATACAAATAGGGCAAGTCTTTGTCAGATCTCATCCCCTGTGGCTTGTGTTTGTTAATGTTTCTGCACAATCTACCGTCACTGCGTCCCAGAGTGAATTAAGTAAGATTTTAATTACAAGCTTTGCCACGAATGGTCTTTGTTGCCTTTTCCCCATGGTGTTATCATCTACACGGGACAACAAGAAGCATTTGAAACAAGGCTTGCCTAAGTTAAAGCAGATGTTTGTGTACAGCAG